ATGTAATTCCACATATACATAATTCTCCAATAAATACTCCAATCAATAATAATGTAAAAATAAATGATATAGACATTGTTGCTCTTATATATTTTTCTATTCTTTTATTAGAAATAAATGGTGGTATTAAACATGGAAATACACAATACAATATTTGTTTAAAAATATTTGTTTCATTCTCAAATGGAGTTAAATATCCATCAATATCAACAAATCCATCTTCTTTTTCATTTGAATGATGTGGAAGAAGTATTGTACTAAAACTAAATCCTTGAAAACTTTCTTCACTTGAAGAAGATGAACTTCCATCTATTCTAATTGTTGTTTGATTATTTTCTTTTTGTTCTTCATTATAAAGAGAGACAAGTGTGGTATTTTCCATTTCTCTTTTAATTCTAATTTCATTAGTTTTTTTTATCAAGTCAAATAATTCTTCTTTTGCCTATTTTCCAATAATTTCCTTTATTACAAGCCTATTATGATAGTCACATGCCTACCATTTCCTTTTTTTTGCCTTATTGAAATTTTATAATAAATTTTATTAAATTTTATTAAATTTTATTATTTTTATAATTTTGAACAAATTTAGATTAAAATAGAACATTATATTTTCTTTTTAACTAACTCTCTCCTTTTCTTATTTTCTTTCTTACAAACAAAAAATTATAATTGTAATTGATTTATTAAAGACTAAAATTTAACAAGAACAATCATTGGTTGTTTGAGAACTTCTTTTTGGAAGATTTTCTTGTTCTTGTGTTATTTCAATAATTTCGTTCTTTTTTTCGCTTATGTGAAGATTTCTTTTGATAATAATAGATACCATTTCTTGAAAGGCTGTGTCAATATTAATATCTTTCTTAGATGAAGTTTCAATATATAATGGAATATCATTATTAGAAACAAATTTCTTAATAATATCTTCAGGAACTCGAACATTATTTTCATCAGTAATTAAATCTAATTTATTTCCAACTAATACTACAGGAATATTTTTACTTTGATCAACAAGACTATAGAAATCGTCTAACCAATCTTTACAATGATTTAATGATTCCATATTATCTAAACTGAATACAATAAATATCCCTTTAATATCAGTAAAGAAAACACGTGAAACTGATCTAAATCGTTCTTGTCCAGCAGTATCCCAAATTTGTATTGGATAACTTTGATTATCAACTACCACTTCTTGATCTGACATCTCAATTCCAATAGTTGATTCATATAAATCTTTATATTTATGGAAACAAAACCTTTGAACAATACACGTCTTACCAACTCCCATATCTCCCAATAATCCAATTTTGATTTTATTTGCCATGTTATTTATATTTATCTTTTTAAGTTCTTTTGAGATGCTTTTCATAAAAATAGTATTTTCTTTTTATCTCTTCTACTTTAAAGTTAAATTTGTGTTTTTTATTTTCTTTCTTAAACTTCCTCAGAACTTTTAACATAATAAACCTTCTCTCTCTTAAACTTAACTGACTTGGTCTATGAAAATACCCAAATAATGATTACTCTATTAAATAAAATGAAATTTTAAATACATTTTTATCAAATGGACATCTATAAACAAAAGATAGATTCATTAGTTGATAGTTTTAAACAATTAACACGTTCTCAAATTGAAATAGTTTATGGGTTCTTTCATAATGACTTTGATAAGACATCAAAGTGTTTAATGGAAATCATCGATGATATTAAAACATCAATCCCATTAACAAATTATAAAATTACATTTGAATCAGATCAAAAACAATTACCAGTTATTCCTGAACAATTGAAGTTTGTTAAATACAAAAAGTACCGTTTTATGACTATTGAACCGATTAAAAAAAATGGTTATAATCACTGTATTGGATCAGTTTACTTTACTAAGTTTGAAAAGATGTCACCTGCAGTGTTTGGGAATAAACACCAAAATAAAACAATGAATGAAAAAGATGAAGTAATTGAAAACGATAATGTTGAGATTCAAGTATTAGGTAGTTCGAGTTGTATTGATAAAGATGAAACTTCTAATACTAAAATAGATGATGCACTTAGTAAAAATGGGACTAAAGAAGGAAAAAGTATAAATGAAAAAGATATTATAAAAACAATTAATCCAACATTAACAGTTGATGAAATCCATCTATGCCAACAAGAAAATACTATTTTGGATCATATAATTGAAGAATATATCAATAATAAGACAGTATCAACTATACCAACATTTTCACCAATTTGTATATCACCAAATGAAGATAATTCCATAGAAATGGAAGTAAAAAATAAGAATGAAAATGTTTTAATTAAATACACAATTCCAAGAAAGATAAAGTATGAGAATATCTGGATAGGAATATACGATAGATATGAAACAAATTTACATAACTTTATTAAAAGAATTGAATTAAAAGACAAAATAACTGGAAAGATTCAATTTAATGAGATTAAAAGAGGGAAATATACTGTTCGAATTTTTGTTAGTGAAACAAATGAAGGAAGTTTTCAACCTAGAAGTAGTTGTGATGTAGTTGTTGGACCAATTGTTTTCATGACATGCAATATTGTTTGTTATAATAGCAAAAGAATGTTAGAAGTAAGAGTAAGTGAAGAAGGAGAAATGGGATGGATAGGAATCTATCCACATCATCCAACAACAAGAAATGAAGACTACATCATTTGTACACCAATGAGAATGAATTATCCAATAGAAATGAATATAACAGAACTTAAAAAAGGAACTTATGAATGTCGTTATTTTAGCAAAGAATCAGGAGATGGAATGTTTAGTAAAAGTTATCATTGCTCAGGTTCAAAAATATTAAACATAGATTAAAAAAAAAGTGAATTTATTATATTTCTTAATTTACTCTTCTTTCTTCTCATCATGTTGTGTTTTTTTATTGGAATAAATTAAAATAGTAAGTGGTTGTTCTACAAGATATGAGAAGATGCAATAAACGACAATTGACCAAATTGAAAGAATTAATCCAGTTGATGAATAATAATACAAAGCAGAGCTAATAAACAAAAGAGCACCACCAAAATACATTGGGTGTGGAACAAATCCAAATGGGAATGAAGTTATCATTCTAGTTATTAATATCTTTTTGTATTTAATTATTAATTAAATATACAACTAAACAATAACAAACTCATCGAAAAGGAATCCAAAACAATCACCTTCATATGTTCCTTTAAATCCAAGTCTATAGAATGAACTAATAGAAAGAATCCAACCAAAAATTTGAATAGGAATAGCAACAATATTAACTAAAGTTGGAATAGAACTAAGGAATATTATTCACGTATTATTGAATTATAACTGTTTTAATTAATCTCATATTTTCATTCAAAAAATAAAATAAAAAGAAATCAAATCTGATTTATTTAACACTTAGTATTTCATCATGTTGAGAAGTAAGTAAATCAGTTTATTCAACACATTTTAGCTCTATTGAATTTATGTTTTTTCAATCATTCTTGAACTGAATAGTTCATCATTTAAGTTATCTAAATTTTTAATTTGAATTAAATGAGTATTAAAACTCTTCATTTTTTATAA